TTCTAAGGATGCGTCCTAGGTTTTCGAACAGAGCCATCATTTCAGGAATTCAACTGGAAAGGGTGGGTACTAACTCTGAGGCTGAACCAGAAGTTCAAATTCACCAGGTCAGTTCGAATAAAGATGGATCGGAGTTGCATTTTGCCTGTTTTGTGGGGCTCATATGAGTACATTAACCCGGTTTTGTTTTCTCATGTGGTCGGTCCTTGGGGTTTTTAAATGGTCAGTGGGAAGGACCAGATGTGCTGGAGGAATGTAAAGTTTTTTAATGAGGGACACTCATACGCTGTAGTTGTAGACATGTCATGTTTACATGGTGTGAACATGAGCTTGAGATCTTTGAAAAGCAAATTGGAAGAAGCTGGCTTATTTCGTAGAAAGGCGTTTTCCTCTACTTGTGTCATAATAAGGGCAATACGACACGAACTTTGTGAACCAGGACAGCTATTTGGCTACCGCATGATGTGGCAGGTACTCAGACAAAAGTATAACCTCCAAGTAAGGAGGGATCATGTGATGATTTTGCTCTGGGAGCTTAATCCCTATGGATGCGAGCACGCAGAAGGTTTATAAGAAGAACATACCATTCCATGGGACCCAACTATATGTGGCACGTGGATGGTTATGATAAAATTAAACCATTCGGGTTAGCTATTTCAGTTTTTATTGATGGATATTCCCATTAAGTACTGTGGCTTCAATGTGGAGCAACAAATAATGACCCATCTGTGATCGCTCACTATTTCCTGTCGTGTGCAAAACCTTGGTGTCATCCCCATGAGAACGGGAGCATGGCTGCAATTCGGTGCACGTTATGTCACCATCACACTGATTACTATTCTGGAGCATCCAGCCACATGTATGGTTCATACACAAACAACCAGAGGATTGAGTCCTGGTCGTCCATATTCAGAAAGGGAAGGTAAGTGGTCTTTATACATTAATTCAATCCCGGGTCACAATTATTTAAACATGAATACCCTAAAAATGATAAAACTTGTTGATTTTGTAGGTGTCAGCTCTAGATGGAGCTGTTTGCTGACCTTAGAGAAGCTGGATATTTTAACGGGAGTCATGAGCATCAGTGTCTCCTGAGATATTACTTTGGTGATGTTATTCAGAGGGACTTGGATGAATGCATGAGACTGTGGAACTGTCACAGGATACGTCCTTCCAGAACAGCATCATGCCCAGGAGGAGTGCCAAATGAGCTCTACTACTTACCACACGGGTAAAGGTTATGTGATAGTGTGTTCCATTTTATCATAACTTTTAAATATAACTATATATTCTCTTAGGTTTGGCTCCAAAGACTGTGGATTTAAAATCCAACATACTAATCTGAATATGTTTCCTGAGGCTCATCTGAGAAGAGCTCCATGTGGGGATCCAGACATGCAAGAATACTTGGACTTTCCAATAGAGCACAGTAATTTACAGAAGCCAGAACACTGGCAGTCTTCAACTGAACTGTATCTGAAACTAAAATAAATTGCTCAGCTATGAAATGAAGTAAACTTTATTGTGACAACAGTGGAAAATTGACACAATTTGTCACCCACAGCTTCCATATTTAAAACTGGGGAATAAATGAAAATGAATAAAACAAAAAATTGACCAAATGCTGTCCGTGGGGGGAAAAAACATGCCAATCTGCCCCAATTTATTTGCATTTTAACAAAAACAAATGCAACTTAAATTGCACAAAATCTCAAAGAACAAACCTTTTACAGTCCAAGCTGTGGGACAGTGTTTACCAATCCTGGTCCTAAAGTCACACCACCACTGCATGCTTTAGACCTTTGCCTGCTTTAACACACCTGATTGCAGTAAATTAAATATTAATCAGTTATTAACTGAGATCAAGTTTGTTGAAGCAGACAAATATCCAAAACAGGATTGCTAAAATCATGGCCTTGAGAGTGAGAACCAGGTTAAAAAACACTGCTGTAGGAGTTATCCAGCCATAAGGTTTACAGACAACTAAATCCTGGACTATTTTGAATTCCAAAGTCCATTTGTGACTTAAACACGCTGTATGAATCCAGATGTGGTAATTTCAACATGTTTGAACAAGTGTTTGCCAATGGAAATGGAGAGTCATCCAGGAACTCTATCTGTGGCAGAGGTTCCAAGCCAGATGGAGGAAGGGACGTCAGCCCAGTTGCAAACATCAAAATGTTTTCCACAGAAACAGCAGCTTCGCCTTCTGCAAACAAAATAAAAAATTCAGGTATAGCCATGGGCGTACGTTTGCATAGGGACCATAGGGACATGTCCCTACCAAAATTTTGAACCGACCTATTTGTCCCTACCAATAATTGGATGTGAACAACATGTTTATATTTACTATACAGCATTGTTGCAGCAGTGGTGTCTTTTCCCCTCGGAGCTCCTCTGCCTGGTAACTGCAGCTGCCTGGTCTTTCCTGTATTTTTCACGTAGCAGAGCATCAACTGTGCTGCGCTGTTGAACTCTCTGCTTTTTTTGCCTTAAGTTTCATCTTCTGTATGTGTGCGCATGCTTGCTTGGAGCGCCAAAAAAATAAATAAATAAAATGACGCTAGAATACGGCGGTTACCAAAACTAATATTAGGCTACGAAACTAGTCCCAATTAGAAAACTAAATATTATTTATGCTAAAACAGGCGAAGGCTTCTGATTGCAGTTCTGTAAAGAAGTAGGAGAGGGTTTGGATTTGATTAACTTAAATGTAAGTAAACAACGTTAGG